AACTTTTTAGGACATGGACACTATATAACTTCTATAAACCCTAAACCTTAAACCCTAAACCCTAAACCCCCACCACACCCTGTGCTCGGTACGAGTGGTTACAGGTGCTCGTGGCAGCTGTCGGCCTGAGTCCTCATGGTTGCGGTGCATCCAAGTGATTTGCTGGCCTGTGTGATGTCTTCCACGGAGGGCCCTTGGGGTGGCTTCGGTTACAAGATTTGGCAGTTTGAATCATTTTGAAGTTACACGCTCCGGTTGCCGACGATGATCAAGTGTTCGCCTGTCTTTCAGTCCCGTATTTGGAGTCCCGGGGCACCGCGTGGTCGCTGTCAGCTGAGTACCACGGAGGCGGTTCCTGTGCTTTCATTTGATGTAAATTTTTCGTCATCCTGGCGCGGTCTGCCACAAGCCAGATGAATTGCAGCTGTCGGCCTGGCTAAATGCTCTGGCAATGAGCCACTGGACTGGTGCTGTCTGCGGGATACCATGGTGTCCAGTTTGTTTTCTCGTCCTCGGTTTTATGATTTAGTGGCTGGTGTCTGCCGAAAAGCCACACCCCTTTGCAGCAGTCGGCAAGGCGAAATACTCTGGTCATGAGTCCAGATACCATTTACCAGTGACATTGCGGAGCAAGGGTTGGTCACTGTGATTGCAGTAAACGAGTGTCGACTCTTGGGTTACTGCGTTGTGTTTATTTTTATCCTACTCCACCATAGTCATAGGACTGACATTCAGTATCCTCTTGACTATTTTAAGGAGTCTACCAGGTACAGGTAGGGAATGAATACCTGGCAGAGGTATGCACCAGGGGTGCGCGCAGCGTGGGCTGCTGTGACAGGGTCACGTTAACCAAAGCACTTTTGAACCAAACATTTGAAGCTCATGCGAAAAAAGAAGCGAGCTGTGTCCGCTCGTCACATCTCAAGTTAAGTGTAACTGATGCAGCCGAATATACATATATATATATATACATGTTGTGTATTTATATATACATATATGTTATGTGTGTGTGTTTCTTTCAATAACCTGCTCCCAAACCTTTGCTGATGTTCATCAACTGCGTGTGGGGACACCAGAACCTTTCTCACCAGGGTTCGTCATGACTCAATTCCCCACTGCAGTAGAATTGTTGGTTCAGGGCTCTTGCGATGTTCGTTTGACTTTCGAGACAACTGTTTGTCAAGGCATCCAAACTAGACGACGAGTGGCCCGAAAGCATTTTTCATCACGTAGGAAGTCAGAGTGCGAGTTATCTGTTAAGTGTGCAGTGTGAAGTGTTAAGTCGAGTGAGTTGAGGTAGTGTGTGGGTTCCTGTGCGTGTATCTATGTCCGTGTGTATATGACTCTGCGTATGTGTGTGTGTATTCGTGTAAGTTGAGGCAGTGCGTGGGTCTCTGTGTGCGATGTGTGTGTGTGTAATAGTCCCTGTTTGTGTGCGTATGTCCGTGTCTGCTGCTGTTGAAGGTCTTCACTGTACATATAGTGAACGAATTAGCGCGCAGGCCTCCCAAACCCCCGACCGGCGGCCAAGCGGTGACAGCCCAGCTGAGCTCATCGTCGTGAGCATTGGGGCTGCTGGTAAGGGGGAGACGCAGCGTGCGCGCCTCCAGGAAATCTCACTGAAAAAAGCAAGCTGGAATGAAGCGTACTAAATTTTAGAATTGTACTACAAAGTCGCCAGTTCTCATCTTCCAGCTCCACCGATTGCTCCGCGTACTAAAGTTCTACTACCAAGTCGCCCGTTCTCATCTTCCAACTCCCCAGATACTCCGCGTACTCAAGTTGTACTACCAAGTCGCCAGTTCTCATCTTCCAGCTCCCCAGCTACTCCGCGTACTACAGTTGTACTACAAAGTCGCCAGCGCTCACCTTCCAGCTCCCCAAATACTCTGCGTACTAAAGTTGTACTAGAAACTCGCCAGTTCTCAGCTTCCAGCTCCACAGATTGCTCCGCGTAGTAAAGTTGTACTACAAAGTCGCCAGTTCTCAGCTTCCAGCTCCACAACTACTCCGCGTACTAGAGTTGTACTACAAAGTCGCCAGTTCTCAGCTTCCAGCTCCACAGATTGCTCCGCGTAGTAAAGTTGTACTACAAAGTCGCCAGTTCTCAGCTTCCAGCTCTCCAGCTACTCCGCGTACTACAGTTGTACTACAAAGTCGCCAGTTCTCATCTTCCAGCTCCCCAGCTAGTCCGCGTACTAAAGTTGTACTACAAAGTCACCAGTTCTCATCTTCCAACTCGCCAGATACTCCGCGTACTAAAGTTGTACTACAAAGTCGCCAGTTCTCATCTTCCCACTCCCCAGCTACTCCGCGTACTAACGTTGTACTACCAAGTCGCCAGTTCTCATCTTCCAGCTCCCGGCTACTCCATGTACTAAAGTTGTACTATAGAAAGTCGCCAGTTCTCAGCTTCCAGCTCCCGCGCACGCACCGGGCAAATCGCACTCTCGCCTGCATTTCGCCACTCGACACGCACGATCTCCGCAAAGGGTTGCGCGCGCACCGGACAAATCGCACTCTCGCCTGCATTTCGCGCACTCGACACGCACGATCTCTGCAGAGGGTTGCGCGCACACCGGGCGAATCGCGCTCTCGCCTGCATTTCGCGCACTCGACACGCACGATCTCCGCAGAGGGTTGCGCGCACAGCCGGCAAATCGCACTCTCGCCTGCATTTCGCGCACTCGACACGCACGATCTCCGCAGAGGGTTGCGCGCGCACCGGACAAATCGCACTCTCGCCTGCATTTCGCGCACTCAACACGCACGATCTCCGCAGAGGGTTGCGCGCACACCGGGCGAATCGCGCTCTCGCCTGCACTTCGCGCACTCGACACGCACGATCTCCGCAGAGGGTTGCGCGCGCAGCCGGCAAATCTCACTCTCGCCTGCATTTCGCGCACTCGACACGCACTATCTCCGCAGAGGGTTGCATTTTCGGTTGACGCTGTTCGTCCCACCCTCCGCCTTTAAGAGAGAATTTATAAAGTGGGGAAATGTCTTTCATTAGGACATCTCCCGTGCTAGTTTTCCATGCTAGTTTTCCATGTTCACTCATCACACTTGCATACTCATTGCATGCTTGCATACTCATTGCATGCTTGCATGCTCATCATTAGACTTGCATACTTTGACACTTGCATACTTTGCACTTGGATGCTTTCGCTCTTCCAGTGTGTGTGTGTGTGTGCGTGTGTAAGTGTAAGTGTCGAAGTGTAAGTGTCGAAGTCTCAGTGTTCAAAGGATTTTCCGGAAGAACCCTTCGCAACGCTTTCGGGAAATATATAATGACATGTTGAATAGATGGCAGTGGTTTTATATCACATGGCGGAAATCGTACCACAGAGGCTACTCAGCTACTCCTTAACAGGTGTCTCTTGCGAGCTTGCCAATGTGGCAGAGCTTTCCAGATAAGTTGTGACACCATGTGCAAGGTGAAGCTAGACATGTTGGGCACATAAAGCCGAAGAAATGCATAAGATGACATGGTATACCGAGGGTTTGGCGAGTAAAGGTTCCTTCAACAGGTCCACTCTCTTCAGTTGACCCCTGAGTTTCGTTTTTGCTCCTGACATCTCCTGACAAAACTCACGTGAACCAGAGCCAACCAATACAATCCAATACAATCCAATCAAACAGGAGTTCTCCACAGTTCCACCATAATATGTCCTTTTGGTTACTGTTCCACAACAATATAAAACGTCCATATCGAACCACTGCAGGAGAAGCATGAAGGTTTGCGGGAACAAATTTCACCCACCAGCACTGGGCATGACATGATGATTCAAACCAACGCAATACCAAGAAAGTTTTCGTTCCAATTAGGTGGTGGATTCAGGGTCCCATTTTTGAGATGTCGGCTTTTATTAACCATCGGAACAATCCACTGTTTCTGGTAATGGGATATACCCAAGGTGGGCTTGTGTCCTCTTTGTAACTCATTGTTGCTCGGGCAAAGTGTTTTTGCCACAGCGCCACGTTCCAGGCACCGACCCAGCACCGGTTGATGGCCTTCACCCCACTAAATCAAGAACTCTGGAGTTGCTTCACCACGCTTCACTTGAACCTACCTACCTGAACCTGAACCCAACGGGAAGCTTCACCTGTGATCTCGGCCCCGAATGAACTCGTCCGCTTTGGGGAATACACCGAGGACTTACCCAAGACCCTACCACTGCCCAAGCGCTTGGGCGGCCGTCCGGACTCCACCTCCAGGGCTTCGCAGGCCGTGCATCCGACATGGGGCAGAAGGGTGAAAGCTGCAAAAAAAAGAAAGCGGTGTACCGTTGATGAACACAGAAAAAGATGAAAACGCAATGTGTTTGGGCTCTGAGCAGTTGCTGAATTTCTGGGATCCTTTTCCATGTGTGCAATCCTTTCAGGTGAAGAGCTGCTTTTGACGGTTTGAGTACAAGTGCAACTGTAAAGGAATCTCGCTGTTTCACGGTTTACAGCAGTTTTCTATTTGCGTTTCTGGCCTACTGAGGCCTGCATCCTGACATTGGCTGTTTTGATTCACATCTTCTATCTTTGCATCTTGGCAAGATCTTTGTATTCACATCCATCTCCGTCTACAGACATGCTGAGTACTTCGCAAGACTCTGGACGGTGCACCGGTGCGACGGTGAACACTTTTTGGACCCGTGGTAAGTGCGACGGATGACCGTCGCCCCCATGATAGATTCATAGGTGGTTTCGATCATTGGGCATTTATGGGTCGTTTGTAGTTGTTTTGGGGGACGTTGCTTTCATGGTACTTAAATAATCTTAAATATATCAACTTCCTGCCGGAGTATGCGCCATCCAAATGCAGTAATTATAGGACAACAAGTTAGCGAGGACTCTTTTACTGGTGCACACTCCAAACACGTGTGCTGAAAAAGTAAAGCTCTCTTTAAGTGGTTGTGATGATTTGTTGGTAGGGGTTCGGGTGCTCCCCAAACAGATAGAAACGGTAGCTGGGGTCGCACAGGGCTCACTCAACTCAGGGACTGCTTGATATGAATGATTCAATGATTTTGGAGGATCAGACCTTTTCAAAGTGGTGAATTTCTCACAAGTGGTCATTGGTTGCTCAAACACCTCTAAGCCACCACTTTTCAGGTATTCAACACAGCCAGGTCTCTTGGTTTTTCCTGCGGTGCTCTTTGGGCTCATGATCTACTTGGGCTCGGAGCACGGCGACGACCGCTGCCCAAAGGCTGGGCAAGTGGACCATCACCGGCTTGTAGAGGAAACCCCCACACCTGAAGATACAATCCATGTCAATCCATGTTTGGGTCCGTGTTATTCATCAGGAGTCCATCAGTGAGTCTATAATATATATTTATATATATAAATATATATATATAAATATAATCAAGCAGAGCGTAGATGGTTTGTTGGCACTTTACCAGGACTTGTGGATGTTTTTGGTGATTGCGCAAAGAGCGGCCAAATCAAGATGACCACCATCTGAAAATGATGCCTAGTACTGTGTGACACTGTCACCCTGACGACCTTGGACTTGGCTGGGTTGTGGCAGGGAACCGTTCCAGCGATCTCCGTTTTCAACGCATTTTGATGCCAATTCACTCCAATCACCGAAGCAAAATGGAGGTGAGACTGAATCTTCTAGGCACGGCCTCTCTCCACTTGGCCACCGCCTATGGTCAGGGTGGTTATGGGACAGTTTGGTAGAAAAAGAACCACCCTCCATGAGGGCGCTTCAGTTTTGGTCAGTGCTGGTGGTTCGCTGGTCAGCTGGTCGACGCTCCGTCCAGGACTTGGACGCTTTGCTGGTTTGGTTCGGTGCGCTTGGGGCGGCAAGCTTGGTCATGGACTGTGCCAATGATGGCCGCCTGGAGGAAGGAGAGGGAAACAAACAACGCTGACCGCCGGAGTGTTATTCTTTTTTTGAGAAGATTGCTTTGGAAGAAAAACGATACCCAAAGACTCACTCTAAAGGAAACAATGTGTTTTTTACAATTGGTTGAACAGCTACGGCATGAGATTGAGTGGTTTCAGCTTGAAAAATACTGACGTTTGGACTGCGCCAATTTGGGCACGGTCTGTTTGTATTTGCCTACCGTGGTCCATGGTCCTTCCCACTGGGTGTGTCAAAACGCGTTGACCGGCATAGTGGTCCGATTTTCAAAAACTTGCAACGACTGAGGTAAGCTGGCCATCTCCTTCATCACATGGGCTTTGAAGATCTCCTTGGCCCTCATGCCTTTCCTGGGCATGGCTTGGACACACAGCCTCCAACACCGCGACGCTGAAATGTGTGGGCCCTTCGTGTTTTGGACCTCGAAGTGGATTTGGAGTGCATTGGCTTCCTGCGAATTGTGCCTTGAGTCGAAAGGAAGTACCAGGGCCACCACCCCTCAGCAGTTCTCCGAGAACCAACCTCTCTGGTTAATCCCGAATCATCCGGATCGTCCCACTGAACTGGAAGAGGGGGGCGGGCATCAAAGATATCATCAAGTTCAGTACTTGCAGGCACTTGCAGGGTGAAGATGCGTTCACACCATAGTGCAGTCGGGATTGGGATGGTCATGGCATGCCAGCCTGGCTTTACTTCGATTGTCAGAATTAGAGTTTCCACATGTCAGTTCAGTTCAATTCTCAATTCACAACATAACATTTTCACGGTCTGCTTTTGGGCGCGAGGTCTGCCTATGATCCTCCTCACTCTCATAGTGACCATCAGTAAGGGTTTACCCAAGCAGCCACGCATGGTGGCGAGGAACTCCGACGTTTCAACCCGCTACGGGGATGATGGGGATAGGCAGGCGGTTTCAGGCGCCGGCTCTGGGGATCTCGGGGGATCTTTGGCACCTCGCAGAGCTTCATCCCTTTCCTTGGCCAAGCAGCGGTCCGTCGGTTCGGTTTTGTGTGTGCTGTGAACTGGCGACGACATGACTCACCGATAAGTCAAACCTGCAAACTCACAGCTCCTGAAACCCCACAATAGTCAGAACCGAGAACCAAGAACCTCAAACATCCCTGTCCATAGGGGTCGATACAAAAGCCCTTTTGGCCCTCAGAAGTGGAGTCTCACAGTTTGACAAGGATTGGCACTCGGAAATCTCAGGGACTCCAGATTCACCACCGAGGTACGTTCTTTGTTTGCTCTCCTGGAGCTTTCATGTCGCCCGCAATCACGAGCGCTCCCTCCGCCGCGCGGCGGTGAGCGAAGACGAGAACCAGTGCCCAGCGGTGAGCGATGCCTTGCTGTCGTGATCCAAAAAGAACCGCCCCAAGCGATGCAGCGCGATGCGAAGCGATGTGGCGGAGTGGCAGAGTGGCAGAGTGCTGGTCGAAGTTTTGTGATTGAGTGAAGCATGCAATCCAGATGCACGGAAAGACTATATGAAAGAACTTCAATGTGCTTCAATACGTTTGGATATGACGATCACTAACAAAACTCGATTCAATAACGATATCCAAAACAGTTGTTGTTTTTTTTTCCATATCAGGGCACCCAATCCTTTTTTTCGTGACACCCAGTTGGAAGATTTTCCATGTTTCTCTCGACCTCTCCAAGGCTGGCAATCCCCAGATCCAACGCCTCCTCCCCGCAGCGGCCTTCCTCAGCCAACTCACCCGGTGCGACGTCATATGTCGATCGTCGCGGCGGCGGACTCCACCGCGTCAATTGGGATCTGTTGACCACCGCACCTCCAGTCTGACCCAGTAAAGTTGGTTCGAGTAGTGATCAACTTAGTAGTGTTGTAGTGTTTTGTATGCAAGGCCATTTAGCCCAGCCCCTCATTGAGCAGTGTTGTTGATGTTTTCGTACTTGTAGTTCAAATCAACTTCCGCAATAACAATGAGGTCTTTGACCTGTAGGGAAGGGATATGGGTCGGTCACTGGTCGTGGAGATGGGGAAACCTCGAATTCCCGAAGCCCTGTATATAGCTTTTCAAGACCACAAAAAGGAAGGTTGACCGTTGACCCCGGTCTTGTAGTCTAAAATCCTTACTAAAACAACGGTTCTTCGATGTTCGGTAAGAATGCTTGGAATCTTTAAATCGGTGCTTAGAATCCTAGAGGAAGAGGGAGAAGGTGGTGGAACTGGATTGTTGTTGTTGCATGGATTTCTTCCTGAGACTCGCCACTGGCCACTGGCTGATCCGACAGGCAAAGGCGACACCGCCGAGCGCTCCGACAAGGTGGAGCGGCGAATCGCCTTTTGATGTCACTATCCATTTGTGGATTCATGTTTGGGGATCGAAAAGGAATTTTCACATCTCACCTTAGGTGGTCGTCCAAAGACGCGGGGGCGACCATCGGGTCCATGAGCCCGAAAGGCTCAGTCGTGACTGGAGCCTTGAGGACACGACTGGAGATTGGTTTTTAGTGGTCCTCACAATCACAAGGTGATTGCAGCATTTTGCAGCACTTCTCATCAGGGCTTTGTTTGGTAGTTTGTCCTTTTCTCAAGATGTTCTTTGCGCTTGTTGTTCTATGTTTTTCCTTTGGCCTTTCCACCTGAACAAATGTGGATCACCTTGCGAATCTCCTTTGTCGATGAGTTTACTAGACTATATACAGTTATAACTTCTACATACTTCTACTATAAGTATAACATGTACTCGTAAACGCATTTGACTTAGGAAGGGCAGCAGAACTGCAACACTCCGGATCTCAGATCGGATGAGAACGGCATCCCAGTTCGTCTCGAACCTTTCTCGCGTATCTCAAAAGTCCAAAACCGAAACCCCTGTCTGCGCCGGAAACGTGGGAACCCTAAAGTTTGATGCCCGGCGGTCCGGCCATGCGTATATATAAGCCCAACATCGGCAGTGTCAAAAGAAACTTCCATGACAAAAATGAAGAAAGCCAAGCTGAAGTAAGCCATATCAATAGCCATATCATATCATATCATCATATCTTTTACAGTAAATTTGCAAGCCTGGAGCAACCTTTGTATGCCACAAAAAAAAGCCTTTGGTCAAAAATCATGCTTTTTGGAGCTGTCATTGTAAAAGAATACCATAGAATACCATATGTAACTTTTTGATACTTTTTGTGCACTTTGGGGATCTTGACCATGGCGCAACAGGACACAAAACGTGTGCAGAATTGATTAAACACTACACAGTTCAACTGTAGCATTCCAACGGTTGATAGAGGTGGCTGCAACTTGCAAATTTTGACAAACAAGTCTATAGCGCAAATGTGCGGCAATATGGCAGAAAAAATGCGGGAATATGGCGGAAAATTGCGAACATGGCAGAACTTGCGGACTGGAAATTTGCAGCATATTGAACACCTCACAACCACTTCAGCTTGACCAGGCGTTTTTTAACGCCCAATCCTCGGCAGAAGCCTGCGAAGATGATTTATTCCGTGCATTTGTGGTCCAAGTCTACCTCTCCGGGGACACCCCATCATGGAATATGTCATTGTTTGTAAATATCGCATCTTTAGTCCCTTGTGGCACTTTTTCTTCCGCTTTGGAATCAGGTGGTCCAGGAGTGAAACATAGTGAAACACACGACATCAGTTTTTGGACTTCCTCAGCTCAGAATCTCTCAGGACTTGTAACGCTCAATGAAACCAGTTCTCCTCTTGCCATCCAGGTGGGCGCTCCTCTGCGCTCCGCGCCCAATCGGCCGAGCTCGGCCGCTGCCTCGCGGGCACGGGAGGCCGGGAAGGGCACAGATTGATTGGGGCTGTTCAAAGCAGGTGAAAAGAAAATGCGAGAGAGACATCGAAAACCCCAGTGCAGGAGATAGTGCAGTGCAGGCTAGTAATTCAATGGCCGGAATTGTTCCAAGTGGTGGCTTGAAAGTGTTTGATGATTTGATGTAAATTGTGAGTTCTTTCAGGGATGAAACAAAATCCGACTCCCGAGCGAAAAAGGAATGCTTCCGAGATGGCTAGTAGCCCGGAATGTACAGATTTGATGGTCTCTCCAGACTTGATGACCACCGGGATCGAAGCCCAAGAAATCCAAAGTGATGCCTATTGTCATGCTTTGTGATGGCGTGTAGCACGGTGATTTGTGGTGAAGTGTATACAGTGGCGGCAGAACTGCGAGACATACAGTCCCCTTCCTACAACCTTCCGCCACTCTGATGATGTCTATTGAATCCTCTCATTATGCTCTCCACTTCCATTCCGTTTGACCCCTCTATTGATATACAATAGCTGTCATTTTTGGGTGGTTGGTGATCTACAAAATAGAGATCACTCAGGCTCCATAGGACCATAGGATGTTTGAATCCTCGGATGACATTCCCCGATGTTCGCACGGGCAACCAGAAGCGCGTGCATGTGCCGCACTGCCGCACACTCACTCAGATCCTCCTCGATCCAGTACACTTCGATAAACGTCAGTTTTGGTAGCCCCTTGGTGTTAGCACTTTAGCTTCTAGGTACTGCGTTACCCAATTAGAGCGCTGAAAACCTGAGAACCAGGAAAAAGCCCTGCTCACAACGGAAAGGTGAAGGAGTCAGCCAAACAGTATGGTTTAAAGCAATCGAATCTGCAGGTATGTTGATCCAGCGTCCCAGATCGATATCACCAGCACACCCAGTGTCTTCGTTGGTGCAAGACTGGATGGGCTGCTTGCACCCCCTGCTGGTGACTGTACAAGTTGAAAAATCCCCTACATCGTGAGCTACTGAAAAACAAAGTGGAGTTATTCAAAGGAGAGAAACATAAGTGGTGATGTGATGTGATGTGATGTGAGGTGAGGTGAGGTGAGGTGAGGTGGTCCCTTAGAGACAGGGGTTGACACACACACACACACCCAGGCGAATGACATGGCTTCAACTGTTCGTACCGCGGAACTTAAAAAACGGCATTGTCCTACACCTTGGCCGTGGAAGAATTTGATTCCCAGAAGCCCTTTCACATGCACTAGACGGTTTTTGTGACCCATCAAAATAAGATGATTGTAGCTGTAGATGCTTTGACCACGAAAATCCCGGGCGTCGACGAAGACCGCGCCCACCTTCACCCTGCGGCAAAGACGTCCTTTGCGGGAAAATTTGGAAACCGAAAGCAGCCGAACGTCGACCAGGACCAACTTGTGCAGGCTTGTGTGGGGTGTCCAATGGAGGTTACCTATTGTGAGGTCCATTGGTCCATTATGGTCCTAATAATCGATCTGTGCCCTCAATTGGAAAGGGTTTGGCTCGGTCCGGACCCCCGCCAACTGGAGGGTCCGAGAATTCTTCGGGTGCAAGATGATTCAATTAAAGTCAGCTATAAACGCGTTGGGTGTAGCCGCGGTGTAGCTCATTTGCATCGGCGCACTGCTGCGCCAGCAGTGCACACTGGTGCGCAGGCGCCCAAGCCTGCGGGGGGGCAGCTCCGGCTCAGCGATGAAGGCGGTGCAGAAGGCAGGTCGATGGTCGGTCAAAAATGATTGAAGACAAACCATCACTCATGTGGGTGCGTAGTTCAAAATGGGAGACCCGCAACCAATGCATTTTGATCCAATTCCTTTCCTTTTTAAGGGTGTTTGGGAGGTCCGTCTACTTGAGTACACAAGCCTTGCGAACACAGAAAGCATGCAGCTCCCCACGGAGGGTGAGTCGCTTTTCGTTGGAACGGAGAGTGACCTATGTAACGCCTATGTAGTGGAGTTTACACAGCTTGATGTATCGACTGATTAACAACACCTCCCATAAAAAGAGGTTTTACATGGTTTTACATTCCAAATGGGGGGTATTTTGTATATGTTTCTGGACGTGCCGATCGCAACAATTGTGTGTTAGTACAGTGGTTCCTTCATGTCATGATCAACTTATCCACTCTAGTAATTCTTAAGGGGTGACAACGATGACACCCGAGTTTAACTCTCCTCAGACATACTCTTAGACCCTTAGTCCTTTCGGTTTAGAATGGATTTATTTATGCTTTGCTAAACCATACTAAACCACTAGCGGTTCAACCGTTGGAAGCTATAGAAGGACGAATTTGCCATTTGTGTGGTGTTGATGCGTAGCCCGGCTTCATCGCGCGGCCAAACGACTCTCGCAGGCTCGCGCAGTGGCCGGATGGGAATGAGGCCACTGGCCCCCTTGGTGATCCTACGCGGTTTCGCTGGGCATTGAACCTCGCTACGTAGGTGACGCAACTTCAAAGTTCTGAACATTTCAAAACCTAGATCGAAGCTAACACTGAGTGCTGTTTCCTCATGTGTCTTTAGTTTGTTTGTGATGCATCATCCTGCAGTCTGTTTCCATCTAAGGTGAGTTGTGTTGTATCCATGTTCCAACTCCACACACTTCTCGCAGCTGAAGCTGACCACTTCGGCTCACTATACATAGACACCGATGCTGCGACCGCAGTATCAGCTCCGTTTCACGTTCATTTCAATTCATTTTTGTATGAAGGGCCAGTGGTCGAGCTCCGTGGTACCAAGAGAGGTGAGCGACGGACCCGGCAGAGTAGGTAGATATGGGACAATTGGGTGAAAAAGGGCTGTTCAATGGTTCAACCTCTTTTAGCTCATGCTTGGCCGTTTTGACGGACAATTCCGCTCTCACTCTGTGGATGGTGACAAAAGCATCCAGCGTTTTTTTCGAAACTTTCTAGCTTTGCTCGAGCAACAGCCTTAGCCTTAGACATGCAGACGCATGCAGAT